CGCACCTGCCGTGGGGACCTGGCCTTCCACTCAGCGGTGCACGGAATAGAAGACCTAATGATCCAGCACAACTGCTCCCGCCAGGGCCCTACGGCCCCTCCTCCACCCCGGGGCCCCGCCCTTCCAGGCGCTGGCCCTGGCCCCCCAGCCCCAGACCCCTGTGACTATGAAGGCCGGTTTTCGCGGCTGCACGGCCGTCCCCCGGGCTTCTTGCATTGCGCCTCCTTTGGAGACCCCCACGTGCGCAGCTTCCACCACCACTTTCACACGTGCCGTGTCCAAGGAGCTTGGCCCCTGCTGGATAATGACTTCCTTTTTGTTCAGGCCACCAGCTCCCCCGTGGCATCGGGGGCCAACGCTACCACCACACGGAAGGTCAGGGAGTCAATCCCCCTTCCCCGCCGCCCTGCTTCCATTTCTTGAGATCCTCTCACGGTCACCCAGGGTACACTTCCTCCCCATCCCTACTATTTCACAGAATTGCTCCTATTTTCCTCGCCAACCACTCTCCCATCCTGAATCACTTCCTCCTACCAAACATTTGCTCCTGTAAATTAATTTTCCGTAAATTAAATGCAGGAAACACTGAAGAGAAAACTGGGGGTAGCAGAGCTGAGGAATTTCAGAAGGGATACTTTTCTTCTCTTTGGTAGTTGTTGAGGTTGTGACAGAAAGACTGAGTAGGGATGAGGCAATGGTGGAACATAATAGAAGGGATTAGGATTGGGGCTACCTTGCATCTCTGCTCCGGTCAGATCCCTGACTGTCTGTAAGGTCTGATGGTGGGGAGGATGCATTGAGCCCCAAATGAACTCTTTTTTCCCTCTTGCCCTCACAGCTTACCATCATATTTAAGAACATGCAGGAATGCATTGATCAGAAGGTCTATCAGGCTGAGGTGGACAATCTTCCTGCAGCCTTTGAAGATGGTTCTATCAATGGAGGTGTCCGGCCTGGGGGCTCAAGTTTGTCCATTCAAACTGCCAACCCTGGGAGCCATGTGGAGATCCGAGCTGCCTATATTGGCACAACAATAATCATTCGGCAGACAGCTGGGCAGCTTTCCTTCTCCATCAAGGTAGCAGAAGATGTGGCCAGGGCCTTCTCAGCTGAACAGGACCTGCAGCTCTGTGTTGGAGGGTGCCCTCCAAGTCAGAGACTCTCTCGCTTAGAGCGCAACCGCCGGCGAGCAATAACTGTAGATACTGCCAGACAGCTGTGCAAGGAAGGGCTTCCAGTTGAAGATGCTTACTTCCAATCTTGTGTCTTTGATGTTTCCATCTCTGGTGACCCCAACTTTACTGTGACGGCTCAGGCAGCTCTGGAGGATGCTCGAGCCTTCCTGCCAGACTTAGAGAAGCTGCATCTTTTCCCCTCAGATGCAGGGGCTCCTCTCTCCCCAGCAACCTTCCTAACCTCATTTCTTTCAGGACTCTTTGTTCTGTGGTTTTGCATTCAGTAAGTAGGCCAGCAATCCCATGACTAGTTTAGAAATTATTTGGGAATAAATGTTGTCATGGAATAACACAAAGAATTGCTAAAGGAAACAGTGGGGACTAGGAGATACATGGAACAGTGACATTTATCCAGTCAGATGAAGCTCCAGTGAGGCTGACATGATCACAGAATAAGGATTTTTGGCAAGGTTGTTGCATTTCAGATCTCTGTAGGGGCTCCTCACCATTTTTCCCAGTCCCACTTAGAGTAAGCAGATTATTCCAATCCATCTACTCATGAGATCACTCCTATAAGCTTAGACATTATGGGGGTGCTAAAGGCCAGTAAAGAATTTAAAGGTTGAGATTTCTAAGAGGCAAGAACTGAAAGAGAAAAACATGACCATTACCCAAAAGAAATTCAAGAGAAAATATCTGAGGAAACTATTCTATTTAATGAATATATATATATATATATATATATATATATATATATATATATATATATATATGGATAAAGTGTGTTCTGTTTTCTTTGTTCATAGATGAAGTGGGCATTGTCTGGACCTTAGGTGAAGAAAGCTGACGTTTAGAGAATGGCACAGCTAGGACAGAAGCTATCACCCCACTTCCAATCAATCTACTATTAAAGCTATAAATTTCCCAGACTGCCCTCTGTTGCTTTGTTGAACCTCTCTACAGATTTCATGAAATGGAATAAAGAAAATGTATTCACTCCACTGAAAGAGGGCTCAGAAGTTATCAGCTGTTTTTTCTATCTTCCTTGAGTTTATAAGCTATTGGAGAATCAACTGATTCACACGAAGGAATCATGAGTGTGTGATTCTTCATTCAATTCTGTGGTGCTATGAATTCAGATGGGAAGATAATTGATAAGAATCAAAGTAATAAGAAGTAGTAAAAGGTAATAGAGGAGATGGCTTATAAAGACAGCATTGAAGACTGTGTAGGATTTGAATTGTTGAGGGCTTTCCACTTGGAAGTTATGCATAGGTTCATGATTTGGTGAGGAAAACAGCAAAATTCAAGTGAAATAGACAGGAGTAATGGGATAGAAGTTTAGATAGAGGTTATGAAGCACCTTGAAAGTGGGGTCAAAGATGGGTGCAATGGTGCATGCCGATAATCCCAACGGCCTAGGAGGCTGAGGCAGGAGAATCTTAAGTTCAAAGCCAGCCTCAGCAATTTAGCGAGGCACTGAGCAACTCAGTGAGATCCTGTCTCTAAAATAAAATACAAAATAGGGCTGGGGATGTGGCTCAGTGGTTGAGTGCCCCTGAGTTCAATCCCCAGTAACAAAAAAAGAAAAGAAAGTGGGGTCAAATAGTTAAAATCTGACTAATAGCTAACATTTACTGAGAGCTTGAAACTCTGCCAGGCAATGTTCTAAACACTTTAAAAATATTAATTCATTTAGGTCTGGGAATAAAGCTCAGTGTTAGGGTATTATCTAATATGTAATATGTATGAGGCGCTGGGTTCCAACCTCAGCACTGCAAAAATAATAACAAAATTCACATAACTCTCTAAGGAAAGTAGTAGTATTTTCTCAATTTTTATTTTTTTGAACTGGGTATTGAACCTAAGGGTGCGTTTTAACCACTGAACCACATCCCCAGCCGCCACCCCTTTTTAAAAATTTTTAAATTTAGATACGGGTTCTCACTGACTTGCTTAGGGCCTTCCTTGCTAAGTTGCTGAGGCTGGCTTTGAACTCGAAATCCTCCTGCCTCAACCTCCTCAGCTGCTGAGATTATAGGCATGCACCACCACAACACCTGTCTCTTTTCTCAATTTTTACGTAAGGAAATAGAGATACAGATGATTGACTTTCCCTCAGCTACATAGCTAATAAATAGCAGAGCCAGAAACTAAATCCAGGCAGTTAGAATCCAGAAACTTAACTTTTTCTTCCTTTTTTGCAGTACTAGGATTGAACACAGGAGTGCTCTACCACTGAGCTACATCCCCAGTTGCCCCCAAAATCCCCCCTTTTTTTAATTTTGAGAAAGTCTTGCCAAGCTAGACTTAAACTTGTGATTGTCCTACCTCAGCCTCCCAAATTGCTGAGATTACACATCTGAGCCACTGAACCCAGCTCAGAAACTTAACTATCAACCACTACACCAAATAAGGAAACAGAACAATTTAAAATGTTGGTTGTAGAGGTGGGCAGAAAAAGAGAGCTCAGGCAGTGGAGGCCATGACAAAAGCCATTCTCTTTTTTTTCATATGAATCCAAAAAAACAAGAGTTGGGAAAGGAGAAAAAGCCCAATGTGGGAGGAATCTAGTTCCTAGAAAAAGACTGAGAAGAGAAGCCGTCATCGTGCAGGTATTCTAAGAATGGTGCTTCTCTGCACAAAATTATGAAGAAGGTTACTTGTATAGTTAGTATCTTACTGAGTGACTGATCTCATGTTCCCCCTTCAGGTCCTCTTTCATCTGGGGCCTGCCCTCAGGGATCTAAGCATGTATTCATCACTATCCTCCCCATCTTCTCTCAGTCCCATCTGCCTGACAATACTTCCCTGAACACTTACCCATTGTTTACCAGACAAGTGTCCTAACAAGTTTGCTATTTCCATTTTCCTATGCAATTCCTCATCCCCTACTTATCCTTCTCTAAGGACCTCAGCCATTCCCTTAAAGCACAGATTCTGTGTTTTCTGAAATAACCTTTAGCAAATCTAGAAAACAGTCTGTTCTAATGGAAGAAAATGGGGAAGAGGGAGTACTCTATTCTGGGCTGACCCTTAATTTAGGAATGATATACACATTTTAATGCAAAACTTATTTCAAAGAACTTCTTGTATTGGAGCTCTTAATTCAAGAGTAACTTTATCCCTCAGGTATGGGAATTTCAAGTGAATTTTAAAAAATGTCATAGTCAACTGGTGAATGAGATTTTTTCATGGCACTTGTTGTGTAACACTCATCCTTCACTGAGACTTAAGCATTAGCCCGCTAATGAAGTATTTTAAAACAGCGCAAAAAAAGCACATGAAAAGATGTTCAACATCAGTAGTCACTAGGGAAATGCAAATCCAATAAAAACTATAATGAAAAAACATTGTAAACTTAAAAATTACAATTAAAAAACTGACAATATCACATGTTGGCAAGATGTACAGCTTTCACACACTAGGTGGGAATGTAAAATGGCACAAGCACTTCGTAAAAGAGATTGGCAGATTGGCAGTTATTTTCAAAAGGTAAGTGGAAATTTACCATACGATCTAGACATTCCACTCCTGGGTTTTGACTCAGAAATAATGATAATGTGTGTCTGCACAAAAACTTGTACACAAATGTCCATAATAATTTTATATGTAATAACCAAAACCTGGAAACACCCCTAATGTTCATGATCAAGTGAAGAATACACCAATTGTGATAAATCTGTACAATAGAATACTTGGCAATAAAATATAATAAACTCCTGACACACACAACAACATGGATGAATCTCAAAGTAATAACACAGTGAAAGAAACCATGTAGTATTCTGTTTCTATTACTCTAGTGAGATACAAGAGACTAGATAACTTCGTAAAGAAAAGAGGTTTATTTAACACAATTTTGAAGGTTCAAGGGTCTGGCACCTGCATTGGCTTGGTTCTGGTGAGGAACTTGTGGCAGAGGGCATCACAATGCTGAGACTGCAATATGAGAGGGCAAGATCATATGGAGAGACATAGGAAGCCAGAGAGAGATTCCAGGTTAGTCTCTCTTAGAGTGATTTGCTCTGATTAAACTAACTCAGGTCTCAGGAAAACTACTTTAATCCCTCTTGAGGCAAAGCCCCAATAACCTAAAGACATTCCACAAGGACCTACCTCTACAAAGTCCCACTGTTTCACCACTGCCATACTAAGGACCCAAGCCTCCAATATATGAACTCTTGGGGACAAGCCACATCCAAACCATACAGCAAAGCCAAACCAAAACAGAGAACATGCTGTATGTTTCTATATATATAAAATCACATAAAATCCAAATTGATCAATAGGTGTTTGAAAATGAATGGAGGCTCACAGGACCTGCAGCTGGGATGGACGCTGCAGGGAAGGATGACTACAGTCACGGTAGGGAGAACAAGCCCCGTTCCCAGCTGCCATTCAAGGATGATCACTGGGGGTCAAGTTGCCATGCTTATGACAGAAAGGTGCCCCAGGTCTGCAGGTACTTCCAGCGGGGCTTCTGCTTCCATGGAGACCAAAGCAGCTGTCAGCACCTGAGGCCACCTAATCCCCCAGAATAGGATCGCTGCCATTCAGAACCACACATCACCCCACCAGAGCCCCAGCTGGAAGGCTCTGCATTTCAGAGCCACCCCATCACCCCCAGGGGCTCCAAGTCCACCTACCTGCCTTCCATGGTTATGGCTGTAGGTTGGGCCTGGGCTGGGACCTGCTGGGACATGGAGCCTGGTCTGCAGGAGGTTAGTGGCAGTTCCAGGAAGCCCATCTCTATCATCTGCTGATGGGCATCACAGCCACTTCCAGTAATCTCAGCCACAGTCTGACTTTGTCTGGGAGCTGACAGCCTTACTTCAGAGCCTGAGCCTTGAGGAGTGGCAGAGAAAGCAGGGCAGTTGGGATGTGGTGTGTGGCATCTGCATGGATAAAGTATGGGACAAGCCAGAAGCTCAGCTGGTGTTTGGCATCCTGCTCAGCTGTACCCATGCTCACTGCCTGGGCTGCCTACGTACCTGGCAGAAGAACCTTCAGGACTTCCCACTAGATGTCATCAAGTCAGTATCATACAGGGCATGTCCCCAGGGCCAAGTCCATTCCAGCTACATGGTTCCCCACAAGCTCTGGGGTGGGGAGAATCAAGAAGGAGCAGCTCAATAGAAATTTCAAGGCTCAGAACAGCCAGATCGTCTGTCGGTTCTTCATGGGGGAGGGGGGGAGGTGAGTGGCCTCTGCCCTTTCAAATCTGACTGCATCTATCTGTACCAGCTTCCAATGAACCCAAGCCTCTGGTCCTCTTTGACCTAACAGTGTTCAACTGGTTTCTGGGAGTGAGGTACTAGGCCCAGCATTATTCTTAGGGGACACCAAGCCAGAGGAGGATGTGCTTTTCTTTACAGATTATGCCCTGACTCTGGCCCTCTGGGGTTCAGAACTCCTGCTAGATCTCAATAGTTCTTACCATGGCTTTCTGCACCTGGATCAGCTTGTGGAGCTGGGATGAAGAAAATGGGTAGTAGTTCTTTCCCCTGTGGGGTTTGATGATGAGCAAAAGTAGCAAGTGCTTCACCCCTGTGAACTGCAGCAGTGACACAACTAGGGGACACAGGAATGGGGGACAGTTTCTGGGCTGAGGAAGGATTCTCATCTGCTTGCCAGTGTCTTGGTTTTAAACTTTGTTCTTTTTTTTTTTTTTTTTAAGAGAGAGAGAGAGAATTTTTTAGTATTTATTTTTTATTTTTTTAGTTTTCGGCGGACACAACATCTTTGTTTGTATGTGGTGCTGAGAATCGAACCCGGGCCGCACGCCAGGCGAGCGCACTACCGCTTGAGCCACATCCCCAGCCCTTTTTTTTTTTTTTTTTTTTTTTGGTACTGGGAATTGAACTCCAGGGTACTCAATCACTGAGCCATGTCCCCAACCCTATTTTGTATTTTTTATTGAGAGACAGGGTCTCCCTGAAATGATTTAGCACCTCACTTTTGCTGAGGCTGACTTTGAAATTGTGATCCTCCTGCCTCAGCCTCCTGAGCTGCTGGGATTATAGGCATGCACCACCGCACCCAGCTTAACTTTGCTCTTTCATAGGATTTTGGAAGAAAACTAATAAAATGCACCTAAGTTATAAAGAAGAAGAAGGGGGGGTGGTGAGAAAATGAATGGAAGGCAAAAGGAACTTTGGGGAGGGACAGAAATGTTTATTATCTTGATTGTGGCAGTCATTTCACGGATAACCAATGAAATTATACCCTTTAAATATGTATAATCTATCATATATCAAGTATATGAAAATAAAAATGTAATTTTTAAAAAACGGTAGCCCACCTTTCCTTATTCCTTTGGTGGATCAGACAGAAGGCTTAGAAAAGAAATATCTGAACACAGACTTTCTTTCTAGGAAAACAGAGTACAATGATAAGGCAAGGGGAAGAAAGAGAATATTCAATTATTTTTATATTCTCCTCTCTAGTCCTAACATAAGGTCCATATCCCTTTCTCCAGAATGTCATTTAGAAGGTCAGAAACCATGATATTTACCAGTTAAAACACCAACCCTGTGACTTTTGTTTTGGGTACCAGGGACTGAACCCAGAGGTGCTTAAGCACTACTGAGCCACATCCCCAACCCCTTTTTTTTTTATTTGAGACAGGGCCTCTCTAAGTTGCTTCAGGCCTTGCTAAATTGCTGAGGCTGGCTTTGAACTTGCCATCCTCCTCCTACCTCAGCCTTCCAGGTCTATGGGATTACAGGCCTTATCTACTTCCCCCAAAGGCTAACTATGTGACTCTTAATTCTGATTTTTCTACTTCATCAATAGTCAGCAGGTGGCGCTGGTTACTAAAAGTTATTTAGTAGAGCATTGGGACAAGCCTCCAGGAGAAGGATAATTAATTTCTTAAGATTATTTGAGGGCTGGGGTTGAGCACTTGCCTAGCATGTGTGAGGCACTGGGTTTGATCCCCAGCACCACATAAAAATAAATAATGATATTGTGTCCATCTACAAATTAAAAAATATTAAAAAAAGATTATTTGATACGTTGGCCATTTGAGAGAAAGTATTAATAGGCATTTGATAGAATTGGTGCATAGTAAACTAAATTAATTATTATAACTTCATAAAAAACAAAGGGCTGTTCAAGACATGAAACAATCAAAATTCACTACTTGACATCATAACGAATATTATTTACATAGTGAAAATAATACTGGCCTAACAAAAACTATGATATAACTCCATTGGGAAGATGAGATAAGGTCAGTGGTAGAACAGTTGCCTGGCATGTAAGAGGCCCTGGACTTGACCCCTAGGATTACCAAAAAAAAAAAAAAAAGAATTAAAGAAAAAAACAAATGTTAAAATTTCAGTCTATAATCAAAATATGGTAGATATGTCCAATATTCCTAAATTTTTTTTTTAAAGAGGATGGCATAGGTCCGCAATCCCAACTACTCAGGAGTTGAGGCACGAAAATCCCAAGTTCCACACCAGCCTAGACAATTTAGCAAGGCCCTAAGGCACCTAGCAAGACCCTGTTTCAAAAAAAAAAAAGAAAGAAAGAAAACTTTTTACTTTGAAATATGAAGCAAACACCATATGAAAAAGCTGAAAGAGAGGTTACTTCTCTGTAAGGCACCTCAATCAAATCACTAACCATCATTCTCAAATTCAAATAAAATGTCTGAACAAGGGGAAAAAGCTGAACAAACTAGAAGAGAACCTCAGTAGAAGGGTTTGAGAACTGCATTGTTTTGTATAAACACTTAACACTGTATAATTTTTTATTACTTTATATTATTTTGATTAAAAAGGGGGTGAGGCATTTCTACCTTGGTCTGAACTTTTTAATGTTTTTGTTTGTTCGTTTGTTTAAGTGCTGGGGATCAAACTCAGGGCCTCCCACAACTGCTCTACCACTGAGTGGCATCCCTGATCCTCCCCTAAACTTCTTAAACTTATGTCTACCTCCACCATTTCTCAGATCAACCAAACACCTCCCCCCCCAACTCCACCCTGCTCTTCATACTTTCATGGCAAGTTCCTTCCCTCATTTCTTCTTAAGGAAACAGAGATAATATCCATGGCCCAGCAATTACAATTCTAAAAACCAGTGCCAGAAAACTACCAGAACTAAGGAAGAGGAAAAAGGCAGAACATTAGAAAATAAAAGGGGTTTCTCAATTTTTTTGCCTAAGTCCAAACCAAATTATTCACCATCTGCACAACAATTAGTAGGAAGGAATACATTACATATGTTTCCTGAGATAAAACTGGTTATAAATGGAGGGTGGGCTTTGAGAAAGCGAAAGAGAAATCAGGAAGGATAACTAGATTCTGCTTCTACCATCAAAGCTATTGTGGAATCATTCTCTGCTATTGGCTCATGGAATGATTTCCCCAACCCCAACCCCAATCCAAAATGGGAAATGAACTCAGGGGTAAGCAAGTGCTCTCCCACTGAGCTACATCCCTGAATCCCCAGCCCTCTTCTTTTTTCTTTTTCTTTCTTTCTTTTTTTTAATAACAAGCATGAATTTACTGAAGGGACAGGAAAAGGGAAAGGGGACACCCTCAAGGGAGAGAGTGGGTCTTCTCAGAAAGGAAAGGGACCTCCCCAGCCCTTTGTAAATTTTATTTTGAAACTGCTCTTGTTAAGGCATAAGACTAGACTAGAACCAACATTTTATATATATATTTTTCTAGCTATACATGGACATAATATCTTTGTTCATTTATTTTTATGTGGTGCTGAGGATCAAACCCAGTGCCTCACATGTGTGAGGCAAGCGCTCTGCCACTGAGCCACAACTCCAGCCCCAGAACAAATGTCTTTAATAGCAAGGGTTTCGTGTGGTTTGTCTTTGATATAGAACTTCTATTCCTACTGTTAAGTAACTATTTATCTATCTATCTATCTATCTATATATATATATATTTTTTTTTAATTAGGTTAATAAGTCTCTCCATCCTGCCCTCCCACCTCAACTCACTCCAGCCCAAAACTGAAAGGCTCTTTGCTAAAACTACAGCCTCCGAAACAGAAAGTTTCTGTCATGGTTTTATTTTCTCTTTATGGGGCAATGTACTGCCCTCTATCTATCACAACCAAGCCTATAGCCTGGGGTGAATACCAACAGGATTGGAGAGAAAACCACAATCAGGATGAGCAAGGGGGTAGGCTATATAACTAACACATTAGCTGGTCAAACTAAAAATAATTTTATTGATTAATTTTGACATTTCTTTAGAATTTTTGAAGCCCCTAAATTATGCCAGGTCATAAGACAAAGATCCTATCTTTGAAGAGTTCAGTTTAATGTGAAGAAACAGGTAAACACATCACTACAAGACAAAATGATCAATATCAATGATAAACAGAAGTGTGTACAACATGCTGTCAGAATACAAAGAAGGTGGGAATTATATGTGCTTGAAGAAATCACAGAAAGCTTTACAAAAGAGAGGATCCCCCCATCCCCACGAGAATCAGAAATGCACTAGTGGAAAGATCTTTGAACCATAAGTCAGATAGGATTTTGTTCAAGCTGCGTGAGTCACTTAAGCATTTGCACTTCTTTCTGCAAACTATCTTGGTCCCTTAGTGAGAATCAAATATTTGTGAAATTGCTTTATAACTGAGAAAAAGAGAGTAAACAAAGAAAGTACTGTAGATTGTTATTCTGGATTTTTTTAAAATAGAAAGCTGTTTTAATATATAGTTTCTTTCTCTCAGTTATGAGTACTATATTTCCTTCATCAGTATCTTCTTATAATTAAGAATCATCTATACCAGTCTTCAGAAAAGCTTGTGTGTTTGAGAAAATTCTTGGACAAAGGATCTTGACAGTACATTAAACCACCCACTGAGTGGCAGGGCTGAGCCAACTGGATTCCTAAACTGATGGAGAAAGAATTTCTCAGAAAAGGGGAAGTTGGGCTGAGTACGCAATGTCCCTCACACTTATAAACATCAACACAGTCCAATTTCCCTTTGTAGAAAAACAAACCATCTTCTCTTACTGCCCCTTAACTCTGATACATAATTGGGCAATTGGCTTTGAAGAGAACTGGTTATACATGTTACCGTATAGTAGAAGGAACTGAAACTGGGGTTTAAAGCC